AGTGACGAGGAGATGCCCGACCAGGATGATGAGGTCGGCGACGACGATGAGGAGGCGGGCGGTGGCGAATCAAGCTGCGACAGCGACGCAAGCGCAGATGATGATGGAAAGTTTTCGAGTCGAGGTCCGGTTTGTATTTCGCCTTTGACCCTCGTTTTGCATGCACTGGTGGGGGGCTGTGAACTTGTTCAAACGCGCGTGTCTCAAGCCGGCTTTTCCTCGACAATTTTTTTCACATCGCTTCATTTGCTAGGTGATGACCACGGCGNAAAGTTTTCGAGTCGAGGTCCGGTTTGTATTTCGCCTTTGACCCTCGTTTTGCATGCACTGGTGGGGGGCTGTGAACTTGTTCAAACGCGCGTGTCTCAAGCCGGCTTTTCCTCGACAATTTTTTTCACATCGCTTCATTTGCTAGGTGATGACCACGGCGATGTTCAAGACCCCCTCTCATAGCTGGACAGCGACGATGACGTCGACTCCAACGATGACATCATCGCGATGGAGCTTCCGGTCGGATTCCATCTTCAAGAGTCTCCTCCAGAAAAGCTGGATCGCGCTTTCCTTAAGCGTTGCGTGTTCTTGAGGCGTGGTATAGGGTGGTTCTTGGGGCAGATCAGCCGGGTAGCGCCCCCGCAAACTAGCCACACGTACGACTACCGCGTGGTTTTGGCGTACGATCAAAGCACCATCAGTGTGAAGATGCCTCTAGATAGATGCATACGATGTAGACGAGGCGAACGCAGCCGTAGGAGTGTGGGCGTTGATCGAGCCGATCGACGATTCGAATGAGCCGGCAGGGGGGTGTGAGGGTGAACAGCCACGCCGGCAGGGCAGTAGGGCGCGAACCCCCAACGTTCGCAACATTGACCAACCGGGATAGAGCATGCCAAGTTGTGACAACTTCACCAATCAATTTCGAAGGGCGTTGGGGATAGTCTATACGGAGTATTTTGTCTGCACGCATATTAGCACAATGACTTTGCGCTTCTTTTTTTTCAGTTCAGTACCGCCGGGTGTCGTGCAAGCACGTACCCCGCGGGTAGTGCAAAGCTTCAGGGCTGGAAAAGGAAATAGGGATGATAAGAAATCGTGCAATTTGCATAGTGGCGAAATATAGGAACTAGCGAAAAAAATAAGTCGTGCAATTCTCGTCGGGGAAAAATAGGAAATGCCCACATAAGAAGTTCAGCTCACAATCGCTGCGGCAATAAGATTTGAGCCTCAGCTGAAATAGGTGTTCTTACCAGTCGGCCGGCACTGTATGTGTAGACAAGCCATCAACAAGGCGAATGAAGGTGGCACATCGGTATAGTGCACACAACAGGTGAGGGAAAACATAAAATGGGCGACATTGGATAGACTAGATGCCCGCAGCAGCCGACTTGGCTTGTCCAGCTGATACGTATGCGAGACACTTGCGATGGTTTCCGATGCCGTCTTCCTCGTCTACATCCATCCCCGCAAATGCCGTGTAGTCTCCCGCCGCATTTTCCACGGCATTCATGACCGGTGTTTGGTCCTGCAGCAGCCAGAGTTCGTCTGTTGCACATGGCATCGGGTGCGTCTCTCTTGTTGCTATCGACTGTAGGGGTATGGTATACTGTGCTGCTGTTATGCGGTAGGGGTAGGGTGTGTGGCGTATTTGTGTCGAGAATGTGCGTGTGCTTGGCCGCTCTCAGAGGAGGATGACGTCAGGACCCGCACTGTAGAGGGTCTGGCGGAGACCAAACCCTCACTATAGAGGCACGACGCGAATAGTGCGGCACCCGCACTATTGAGACGTCTAAGTCCTGTCAAGCAAAACCCCCCGCACCACACGGACCCACCCGCAATATACAACCCGCATTATACCGACACCTCGACTGTACGAAGTATACTACAACATCTCAGAGTGTTTGGAACACGGCAAAAAGCGTGGCGCCATCCGCAGTTTCATGATGTGCGGAAGGATAGACTACACAACGGCGACATGAGTTTTCTTTTTTTTTTTTTTTTTTTTTTTTTNGCATGCATCTGTGTCAAATTGTGCGGCACACGGGAGTGGTCTCCCAGTTTTGTGTAATTTCATGCCCATAAATGTGCGAAGGGCACGGGAGAACATTCTTTCATCATTGCCTCCTGACGTGGTCGGTCGTAGGTAAGGCGTGTGGTTGAGGTTCCATCACCGATATGTGGGTGTTCGTGTGTTCAAATGTAATGGGTTGGTCATCTCTCTCGCCCGTGTGTAGGCAGGGAGTATGGTTATATCTCTCCCCTCAGTGGGCAGCACAGACCATATGTAAAGAAGAGTTGATCATTTCGTGCATAATACATCATTTATATTTTTCCTATCATACGACGGACCGCTGGGCGGTCCGCAGCAGCAAAGGGATGTTCGTTGACGTGGAGTCACGGCTTGGGGATTCCTGCGAGAGTCGAACGGACGAAAAACATACGTCAGTTGTGAACACGCAAACGTGCTGCAGGGATTGCAGGTATACCTCCTCGGGCTTGTGAACCCTTTTCTTGCTAGTAGTGTGGGTTCTTTAGATCTTCTGATGGCTCTAGCATTTTTGTGACTACAGACCGAGTCTTTGCTAGATTTTGGGATTATCAACTGACACGAGTATTATTTGAAGAAAAACAATAATTCTACGTTGCATGCAGATGAGCAGAATTCCCAACCGAAACATGGTGGCTGTATCCCACCACGGTATTGTACTGTGGACTGTCCTGTTTGCCCAATCACAACCACGAACAGCACCTGCAGGATGGGAACCTCACCTAACGGTACTGTGCTTGCAGCCGAGCGCTATGCTGCTGCCAACGGAAAGCAAGGTGGCCAACGAGTGCACAGCAACGCACTCTCCCTCACTCCTCACTCACTCACTCATTTGCTCTTCTTCTTCCCCTAAGCCCCTGCGAGCACCGTCGACGCGGGATAATCTTCAGAAGATACAACATGTGAGGGGTGTAGGACTCTGTGTTTCGATGTCAATGGCTGTAGCTAGCTTGTCATTCAAGATCCACCGCTGTGTGATCATGTACGTGTAGGACGAAACATTGAACGCAGAGGAGCCGCACACAGGCCATCTCGCAGCCAAGCCGGATGACTTTCGCAAGCTTTTCCCCCTCAAACCCTACACAAACCTCCTGTCTACAAATATGTGGCCCCGACTCGAATCTACGGCAAGGTTTGATCAACGCACACAACAAGCCCAGCCATCTGTTCCAGTTTGTGCCTGTTGTGTGTACCTTCGACACGTCAGCGTCGGCGTGCACCTGTTAGGATTTCGTGGGTAACATGCACAGTCCACGGGGAATCTTGTGGGGCAAGGCACTGCTGTAAATCCGTATGACAGCACCATAACATGAACGTGTTGTGTAACGTCATCGTGGGCTCGTTCTGAATGCAGTCTAATGGCGGCCTAGAGCATAACTACAAAAATAGGTTTCAAAGGCGCTCTCTTCGTTGTAGACTGTTTCGGCGTTTCATCTTTCCAATATAGTTTGAAGGCGACTCCCTTGCTCCATGGCCAAAAAAACAACACTGAGGGAATTTATCAGCGGGCGACGTTCAAAAACTTGGACCTTTCTTCCCAAGCCATTCGCCTTTTCGCAGGAGAGCCGAAGATATTGGTCGTGTTGCTCGAACGAACCATGTGTCAGACGCTACCACCCCCTCTTGTGATGCCCCAGCCGCAAAAAATTTCCATCCCGAACAGCCTTGTTTCATAGCATAGGCTATACTTTTTTTGCTGTTTGGACTTTCTGCTGACGATGATGGTGATCTCGATCGTTCCTCTTTGCCATGGCAGAACGTTACCAAGACAAGTGGAGTCGACTCGGAGTGTGCGATATAATGAAGCTTTCGTGGGAATCTGTTCTGCTACTACCGGTGATGTTGCTTCCGGTTGTGGTGCAAGGTGAAAATTTGCGACATTGGAATTACCGTCAGTCACAGATCGGTGGATCAGTTGCAGTATGTGCATAGCATGCGGACATACATGAGGAATTCCGAGAGCGTCCTGCACACGGAGCCCACCGCCCTCATGGTTGTTAGGGCTACCTTTCCATGGTTGAGTGGCTATCAAGTGGGTGTCGGCATCAGACGTCCAACTCTCCATATGTACTGCAGTATGCATACAATGTGTTGTTTTTGGACCGCCCATGAAGAATATTCTAGGGAAGGCTACAAGAAACCGCTCGGGGCCACTCGGTTGAGCGGCCTCGAAACATCGAGCAGCGGTGCTTAAGCATAGGTGGAAACATAGGCTTAACTTCACACAGTGTGCATTTCGCCCTTCACGAACTCACAACATGGGTTCGATACATGCGGAACGAGTAAACAGACATTCGCTGCAATTCATCATAATCGCCCCCTGGTGTATGAGCGTTGACAAAGAACATTAACAACTGCAAAACCTGTCTAAGGAAACTTCAGCGCGCAGCGTATTGATGTCGCGTAGGGAGTTGATGTTTCACGCAGATTTTCGATTCAACCCGCGCCGCTGGGTTGTTCGTTGACGTCTCTTTATGATATTGAATTTTTTTCCGTTTCCTCTCCTTATGTGAATGCAGGCGATACATGCACCAACGGCATCGAAGGCATCGACGGCAACGGCGTGGTATGCTGTCCGCTGGGCTGCGGGCGATGTTCCGGGGAAGGGTGCACTGCATTTGGCTCTGAGAACGGCCTCGGCGCCGATTCCTGCTGCGGCAATGCTATCAAGGCTTCCGGGAGACTGTGCAGCGAAACCGGATCAGCCCCTTGCATTATCGACGAAGAAGGTCAGCGACGGTAAACACAAGACTCTCGACTTTAGCCCACCAGTAGACACCACCGACCGAATATTTTTGGCCCATCATACTCGTCCAATCATGAACAACCGATAGCGGAAGCCTGGAACGGTCGTATCATGGCTCTGTCCGTTCGTTGCGAACGTTTGGTCAACTGCGCTGGCGTCGCTGGAATTTTGAATGCCAGACACCGGCTCGCCGTGGGTGAATATGCTAACTAGTTTTTGTCATGTTTCCCTTATCCACAAAATGTGCAGGGCCCTCGCCGACGCCGAGCTTCAGTGGCGGACAATATGGAGAGGAATATAGCGGAGAAGGAACATACTATGGTCACACGACGGCAGGCATGTGCTCCTTCTTCGACGATGTCCCGGAAATGTACGATGGCATGATTCCAGGTGTGTACCATTTGCATCCGTTCTGTTTCAGTTGTTATTTTTTTGAAACAACAGTAAGCGTGTCAAGACGAGCGAGCTTGTCCGGCTTTCGTTACACTTTCAAATCCCTTCTCAACACCTTTGGCTGCCATATTCGTCTTCGTCGCCGGACTGAATATGTAATGTCTCTTCGTGCTACCGTTCTTTCCCCTCATGCCCCCTGCCTTCCCCCAACGATTAAAACATCCTCTTCTGCTGCACGGGTTCCAGTCGCCCTCAACGCGGAGCAGTACGGCGATTCGCTCATGTGTGGCGCATGTGTCGAGGGAACTGCCAGCGGCAGCGGCTCCGGCAACAACCCGATCCCATCCACGTTCAAGGCTTTCATCACGGACAAGTAAGCGAGAAGAGGGCACGAACAACTACTTGTAACTGTAGCGAGTCGTCGCTTGTTCCTCCAGCAAACACCATGACTGGTGATGGCGCGTGTCCTGTGTTGCACTTTTCGGTCTTCCCTCTCGGATATTGCTACAAGGGACAAAATGAAAAGCACCCAGTCTAGAAACCAGGGATGGATATGTCTTTCACCAAGTAGACATGAGAGATTGATTGATTGTTCCCGTCCACTCTCTGGCTCTGCTTCAGATGCCCCGAGTGCCAGAAGGGAGACCTCGACTTCTCCATGTCCGGCGACGGGAGGTGGGACATCGAGTGGAAGTTTGTCGCGTGCCCTGGAGAGGAAACGTCCTTCGTTTCTCCTTCCGCTAACCCTTACTACTGGAAGGTGCAGCCACGCGGTACCACGACTCCGGTGGTGAGCCTCACGGTTGACGGGCAGTCGGCCATGAGGACCACCGACAACCACTTCGAAGTACACAACGACGGGGCCGCGTGGTCGGGCGCGCAGACGGTGGTGACGACGACCGTGTCAGGCGTCACGGAGACCGCAGAAGTGTCGTTTTAACGAGTAAGAACGTGGATAATTTTGCTGAGTAGGTCTAGGCAGCACGTCGTGGGATTTGGTAGCACCACGAGGAAAATATTTGTCGGGTTTTTGTTGTGTTTCGAGATACCCGTGTGAGCATACATGGATTTGTGTCTCGATGGGTTTTAAAGGAGTAAAAGGTCCCCAATTGCACAAAACGTTACGTAGCTTAGGCGGAGTATGAGGGGCTAGAGAAAATGAAGAGAGGGGAAAACCATTTATTGTTGTGTATTCGGTCTTCGTTTTAACTTCTTGACTCACAACATGAATTTTACTTCTGGATGGTCGCTAGTTGCTGTTGATGTCGAACAGCCCTAGACTAGACTGGCAGGTGCTTTCTCTAGGACCTGTTCGCCATGAGGGCTAATATGTGTTCGGGCGTTCGCGCTCTACACCCTTTTTACTGCCCATCACGCCCCTCTCGGTGCTCTTCACCGGCCAGTGAGATTGTGTGGGTAGGTTGGTCGTTTTCTGTTGTCGTCGTTTTTGTTGCAGTCAATGAACTGCTCTGTTTCATGTTCTGGCCCCAGCTTGTTAAATTCGGAGAAAGGGAAGGCCGACCAGAAGCTGGATTTTGGATATTCTTGTGTAACCACTCGTGGAGACTATCTTCCATGGCGTTGGTGGTTTGCCCATTTTACCAGAAGTGGAGCTCGTTGACTCCTGGGTGCTCCGTAGGTAGGTTGTTGCCAGCAGCGATGATTTGATTCCGTCGTACCAATGCGTTAGGATAATGCTACAGTGCAGGGAATACTTTGTAGGGTGTGTAGAACATGGCATCTCACCTAGAGAACTTTCGAAAGGGTTCTTGTACATAAATATCGGTGGCGAGAAATAGCAAGGAATGGATCTAGAAGGGAGTGACTACCCCTTTCAAAGTGCGAGGCTTCTCCAAAAGTGTGAGGCTGTTCCATGTTGGTCTGGTGGTCGGTATTATGCCGCAATACATCTAGCGCGATGTCGGGGAGGCTTGCCGAGGTAGGCATAAGAAGATTAGGAAAATTTACACGCCAATGGAGAAAACATCACACCAACTTTGGATAGCGTTTGTACCGGGCCCCTGTAACCAGTGAACGTCTTATTGTTTCTGCAGTTTTCTATGTGCAGGTTGCAACTCCGGTACCTCATTCGTATGTTACAAATGTTTTTGTATACCCTAGGGTATTCTAGTTCGTTTTTCTTAGCCAAGGCTGTAGTTGTTGTCCAATACACGCTCTGTCGCCTCATAGACCCCAGGTTCATGCACACGGTGATTTTGTTGCTCCGGATGCTGAAAATATTCTGTGTGTGATTTCGTTGGCTGTTGACCTCGGGGGGGTGTAGACGAGTACAGAAATAATTTTGTGTGATGTGTACCATGCTGAGCCTGCTGACAATGTGGAACAATTCTAACGTGCTTGCGTAATTGTAGGTTTTTCGTTCGGAATCCGTGTACATATAGCCAAATCGAGATATTTTCAACGAAAGAGGATGATGATGTCATGTTGATGGCTGGCGATTTTGCTGGTGATTTTTGGAAATATTCCAGACAAAGCTTCTGCTTCGTGACGGCTCCCATACGTTTAGGCTACGGCTCGCGTGGAGCTGTGGGCACTGAAGGCTTAGCCCCTTTATCAAAAGAACGAAGGACATGATACATCAACTTGCCAAGAACGATACGTTTGTTTTCACCTCTCTCTCCAATCGAACCCGGTGGACGGGGTCACAGATGATTCCTTCTCTCGCAACAGGCCTTGGTGCTTTCGCAGGGTGGTCAGATTGTGCTCTCTCTGCCCTCATACCCCTCCCGCACCTTATCTCATCATGTGGCGGTCCTCTGAGAATGTTTGTATGCTATTTCACCATACAGACACACATGAACCCCAAACTGCGACAACCCTCTTAAGCGGGGAGCACGACTCAATCAAATAGAGTGTGTATTGCCGAACAATATTATTATTGTACAAGAGTTTGGGGACCCCTCCCCTTGGAAGTGTCGACGCGGGGTCGATCTGGGCAGGGGAGAGCCGGAGGCCGCGCGGAACGTGTTGCGAGATCGAAAAGTACGGAGTACATAGCACAACGCAGTCAGTGGTGGCATGAAATGAAGGACCGCTGGAGAGGGGATTTGAATACACAATGTTTTTGAGTTGTTGGCGATGTTTTCAGTTCGGTCGTACTTGACAACAGAGTGAGCGGCGGCGAGGGGTATCTATCTACAATACACTATTTGACAAATGGAATAAGCTTCCATGGAGGAAGTCGTAATTGGCTTCCATGGTTTCTACCTCCTCTTCCATGGAAATTACTGTCTGTCACTTCCATGGAAGTCATCAAACCTCCATGGAAGTCGATATTGACTTCCATGGAAGTGACAGACAGTAATTTCCATGGAAGAGGAGGTAGAAACCATGGAAGCCAATTACGACTTCCTCCATGGAAGCTTATTCCATTTGTCAAATAGTGTATTGTAGATAGATACCCCTCGCCGCCGCTCACTCTGTTGTCAAGTACGACCGAACTGAAAACATCGCCAACAACTCAAAAACATTGTGTATTCAAATCCCCTCTCCAGCGGTCCTTCATTTCATGCCACCACTGACTGCGTTGTGCTATGTACTCCGTACTTTTCGATCTCGCAACACGTTCCGCGCGGCCTCCGGCTCTCCCCTGCCCAGATCGACCCCGCGTCGACACTTCCAAGGGGAGGGGTCCCCAAACTCTTGTACAATAATAATATTGTTCGGCAATACACACTCTATTTGATTGAGTCGTGCTCCCCGCTTAAGAGGGTTGTCGCAGTTTGGGGTTCATGTGTGTCTGTATGGTGAAATAGCATACAAACATTCTCAGAGGACCGCCACATGATGAGATAAGGTGCGGGAGGGGTATGAGGGCAGAGAGAGCACAATCTGACCACCCTGCGAAAGCACCAAGGCCTGTTGCGAGAGAAGGAATCATCTGTGACCCCGTCCACCGGGTTCGATTGGAGAGAGAGGTGAAAACAAACGTATCGTTCTTGGCAAGTTGATGTATCATGTCCTTCGTTCTTTTGATAAAGGGGCTAAGCCTTCAGTGCCCACAGCTCCACGCGAGCCGTAGCCTAAACGTATGGGAGCCGTCACGAAGCAGAAGCTTTGTCTGGAATATTTCCAAAAATCACCAGCAAAATCGCCAGCCATCAACATGACATCATCATCCTCTTTCGTTGAAAATATCTCGATTTGGCTATATGTACACGGATTCCGAACGAAAAACCTACAATTACGCAAGCACGTTAGAATTGTTCCACATTGTCAGCAGGCTCAGCATGGTACACATCACACAAAATTATTTCTGTACTCGTCTACACCCCCCCGAGGTCAACAGCCAACGAAATCACACACAGAATATTTTCAGCATCCGGAGCAACAAAATCACCGTGTGCATGAACCTGGGGTCTATGAGGCGACAGAGCGTGTATTGGACAACAACTACAGCCTTGGCTAAGAAAAACGAACTAGAATACCCTAGGATATACAAAAACATTTGTAACATACGAATGAGGTACCGGAGTTGCAACCTGCACATAGAAAACTGCAGAAACAATAAGACGTTCACTGGTTACAGGGGCCCGGTACAAACGCTATCCAAAGTTGGTGTGATGTTTTCTCCATTGGCGTGTAAATTTTCCTAATCTTCTTATGCCTACCTCGGCAAGCCTCCCCGACATCGCGCTAGATGTATTGCGGCATAATACCGACCACCAGACCAACATGGAACAGCCTCACACTTTTGGAGAAGCCTCGCACTTTGAAAGGGGTAGTCACTCCCTTCTAGATCCATTCCTTGCTATTTCTCGCCACCGATATTTATGTACAAGAACCCTTTCGAAAGTTCTCTAGGTGAGATGCCATGTTCTACACACCCTACAAAGTATTCCCTGCACTGTAGCATTATCCTAACGCATTGGTACGACGGAATCAAATCATCGCTGCTGGCAACAACCTACCTACGGAGCACCCAG